AATCATAACACCTGTCTCAATCACACGTGGTTTATCGCACGCAGGCGCACTAACTACAGCAAAAAATTTTTCGCTTTCTCTTGCCGTTTAGATTGAATGCCATATCTGCCATCTGAGTAAAATTACACAGAAGTTTTTTTTTTTTTCTTTCAAAACATTTGTCTCTTATCACATGGGCCCATGCCCAATTTGACTGGTGCTAATCTTGTACTTCTTATATCATTGCAGTCTAGTATTGATTTCATATGTATAAGAAACAATTACAATCATTTGTATTTTTTTTTTCAGTTTAACCTTTGAAGCTTATTGTCTTCAATCTTCATGCTTTATTTGACTTGCATAAACTGTCACTAAACTGCTTGCTAAATTTGTACATCTTCATTGCAATAAAAATGTTGTCTATGCCACCCATTTATAAGAAGTCGTGGTTCCAGTAAAGCCCATTAGAGGCTTTTTTACCACTGCCCTTAGCATCCTGAATACTGGAATAAAGTTTCAAGGTTCCCTTGTTAAAATTGGTTACAAGTCGGCATATGTTCATTTATTTTGCACTCTTTCCAATAGTGCTTGCCGAAAACTACTGGTAAATTAATGTGAGAAATCAACTGGCTGAACATAGTTTTGGTTTATGTACAGTACCACACACTTAGCCCTGTTATAACATACTAGTGAAACATTTTGCTAAAAATGGGAGTTTTCCACTGATGTTATGGGTGCCTTGAATAACACATGGTTTTTGTTTAACCTTCTTGACAACCATCACAGACTTATAGCATTCACTTAACATAAATGGAAAGGACATTCCCAGATTTTAACACGTTCTTCCGACTTAAAAGTTTACATAAGAAACTGATCGATTTGATTGATATGAGAGCTTTAACGTCCCAAAACCACCATATGATTGAGACGCCGTAGCAGAGCGCTGCGGAAATTTCGACCACTTAGAGTTCTTTAATGTGCACTGAAATCTGAGCACACGGGCCAGGGGTGCAACAGCTAAAATAAATTTGGAGCAATTTTCGGAGCACCAAATGTTACTTTTGGAGCACTAAAATCCAAATTTGAAGCAGGTTGTGAGAAAAATGCAAAAATTTTTATCATGAAAGACAAAATTTGTACGACTATAAAAAAGAAGGCTTAGATTTAAAAAGAAAATTGGGCATAAAACATTCAACCACCTTAATTGTGCAGAGTGAACAAGCACTGCTATATCAATAAAATAAGTATTCTGAATTACACCGCAGAGCAAACAATGATGGAGTCCAAACGAGCATTTACTGCGCCTGTTGAACCCTTTGAGAGACTCTGTGAATTCAAATAAGGCTCTGCTAAGCTGGCGACCTTGAAATTCCGGAGATTCGTAAAACCGAAAAGTAAGGGTGGCAAAAAAAAAAGACTGATGCACATTTTTTTTATTTTAGGGCCGCAGGTATGTTATTCGCTGCTCCAAATGATTGCCAGTAACTATTTTAGATGTCAGTGATCATAGGAGTACTCAATTATGCTGTGCATAATTGCATGAGTAATTGAACAAAATGTGCTGTGTTCCGTGACTACCACTAACAGCCCCATACAAAGCTTATTAGCCTTTTCCGCAGGACACCAGTGTACTGTGGCGAAGATGGCTCAAGCGCCGTTTTGCGCAGGCTTGAACAAGGCCAAGCAATTTTTGAACCGCTACAACCACCCTCCCCCCAACCCCAGCAAACCCTTCTTTATTTTGTGGTGAGATTAGGTTTAAGGCACAACTTTTAGGCTCACTTGCAAGGCGTGTTCGACCAGATAAAGTAACAATGGCGCGCACCTGCTGGTCCAGCGATGGATATCTGCCGCCGGGACGACGCAACTTCAAGCCAGAAAAATGTTTTATGTTCTATTGCTATGGAAACCAACATGACGGCTGGCAACGACGGTGTTCGCCGCACGTCAACCTTGTTCGCAGCGGAAAACGCAGCATACGTTCCTTACATTCTATACAGCGTTTTCATTTTCTGACCAGGAAATTCATATTTCCCACGAAGCGTTAAGGTACGAACACACAGGTGGGAAGCATGCTACGGCGGCGTCCTGCCCGTTGGTGCCTCTGCTCGGCAGCCAGCGGCACGCTGTCCACATTGGCGGCGCCACGGGAAAAGTGAGACAAGAATGGACATGTCGAGACGCGTGCACCCACCTGCAAGCTGCCGGCTCGCGGCTTCTCTTCTCGACGACAGGCAGAGAGAGAAAAAGGCATGGGTGAGGAGGCACCGCAGATGTGAGAAGGAAGGGAGGAAAAGCATGGGCTCATTAGTGGTTTGCTTGCGTGGAAGCCGGCATAAGTGGCAAACATAGCCCAGCAAGCGACTCCGTTGGCGGCAGAAATTCCACGACGCTCGGCAGGAGAAAGAGAGAAAAGCAGCGTCTCGCGAGCGGTGTGCGGGAGAGTGTGGCGCCGCTAGTGTGTTCGTACCTTTAATGGCTACGGCAACACATCTATATATATATATATACATACAAACATTTGTTTTCGCTTGAAGTTTCACCATTTCATCGATAGGTATCCACTGTGGTCAGCGTAACGATGGGCGCGAGGCATTGTTACTTCCCTTATACATATTCTGGTCGATTGCCTCTCGAGTTTCCTTCCCTAATGAGTAAGGGTCTGTGCGCTTGGTTCGATTTTTTGCTGAAATTAGGGCACCTGAGACGATTCTGAGGCGGGTTGGGCATTCTGGCGCAGCGTAGTGCAATTTCAGCAAACTTCATGACTTTGGCGCAACTCGGCACAACAATGAGGAATCGTATCAAATTGATGCAGCTGTTGCAACCCTGATGGGTCCACAGAGCTTTTCGCCTCTATTGAAAATGAAGCCACCGTAACTGGGATTTGACCCCGCGACCTGCGGGTCAGCAACCGAATACCTTAGCCACTAGACTGCCGCAGCGGGGCTACATAAACTAAGCGAGACAATTTTACTAACGTATATGATGACATAAACATTTCCCCAATCCAAATTTCTGGAAATTTATTTTATTTATCACCCACTATGCTTGTTTTTTCTATTCCTTTTAAGAAGGGACATGGCACTTAGAAGTCGAAAAATCAGCCCAAAAACCGCATTTTCCCTGTCATCATTTTCGTGTTGCCGATGCCCTTCCGCACCTATCAGCAAAGTTTGGCTCCGAAATTCCTCTTATTGCTCAAGTTATAACCCATAAAGAGAGCAACTGCGCGCAAGCGGACTTTTATACTGTAGTGTAAACTAGCAGTACTTCAATCGCCAACAGCACGCGAACTACGTGCTCTACAGAGCCATTTTGGTCTTGTAGGAAAGCTCGCGCTTATAGCTTTTTTTTTTTTCTTTTAGAGTAGACAACTATGTGCCCCTAGCAAAAGCAAAATAAGCAAAATCAAAAATACGTTCAGCACGTGATTCCATTGATTGCTTGACACACGTGAACAAAATGGCACTTCCCGATTTGCCAGGAAAACTCCCTCGCAGTGTCTGCCGCCATTTTGAAAGGGTATCGCCCTTGCGACGGTATCGCAACTTGTATCCCTAACGTGCTTGTGCGTCTCACTATGCCTGGTGGCGCAAAAAAGTTCTGATCGCAGCATCATTTTCGCCATTCACAGAAAAAAGGCAGAAAGCCCAATGGTGCTGCTACTGTGTCGCGGAAGCAAGCGCTGACGTTGTTTGATAACGCCGTCGTAACCAAAGACGGTTCCTCGTGCGTGCGCGGCGTGGACGCTGGCCGCCTGTGTACTGAAGATGTTATCAATGGAGGAGTGTGCAAGACGGCTTCCTCGGATAGCGGACGCTTTGTGAATTATGACCGCGCCGATGCTATCGGCAACAGTGAAGAGTGCGTAGGCACGAGCCTTCCTGACAGCGTGCGCTATGTCAACTTTGGCCGTGTGCGGGTAGACGCTGATGTAATCAATGCCAGTAAAGTATGCGACGACACACCCGCAGGACAACCACCACACTTGAGGGTCTTTCGTCGGTGTCGGCAACAATGCGAAAAATCGAGCGCTTTTTGGAGTCCAGTGGCGCAGCAGTGAGACAAGATGCCAACTAGGTAAGACTCAGAATTCACACGAAAGCCTCCAATCCGTGATTTGGAGTTTGGTATTAAAGGAGCAGCACGCTTCTCTTTCTGCTGTGCAAGCTGCTGCTGCAGAAGCTGTGCTGTGCTTCAACACGGACAGTGTCAATACATATGCTGCAATTCTAGAGCAGCTGGACATCACGATATTCAGCAGCACATACCTGAGGGCTAGGGAGAAGGACTGTCGTCAGAGTGCAACCTCAAATAAATAGAAGCGTCCCAAAGTCTGAGAAAGCTGGTCAAGAAGAAGCATAAGGATGGGATGCATCCAGATTATACCCCTGGTGCATTTTCATAAGATTTTATTAGTATTTTTTCAATAAAGGTGTTATGAAACATTCTTCCTCATTTTCTCAAAACATCAATTTTGGCACATTGCCAAGTTGGAGGGAAAATAACTTCTGTTCTATTCGAGCTATCAGCATAATTCTTTTTTTTTTTTGCCAGAAAGATAAATGCATATAGTATGCAATATGCTTATTTTGAAAGCAATATACAGATCTAAAAGTTTTTTAATTGGGTCGCATGTGTCACAGGTAAAGGTAGCTTTTTTTTTTCTCTGAACAGTGATGTCCTCTAATTCTTGTTGAATTGGCCCAAAAAATTTATTTATAGCACATTGCACTCTTTAAACATCCTACATTGTTTCTACACTGTCCCCAGTATTTTGGTGCTTCCTGCTTAGATGCTAATTAGGCTGCAAACAAAGGACCCAGGTTTTACATTGATTGTGAAGTATCTTGTAAACTACTTGACCTATCAAAAAAGTAATTACATTTTTAGAATATGCACATCGAAATACACAAACTGAGAAAATTTCGTTCAGATCTATAGATAAATAAAAAAAAGTTGCCCATCAAGTGTAGCCTCTCCCCTTAATCAACAACCTTTAAGAAAAGACTACATACAGGCAGCGGAAGGGACGGCCCCGCAGTTGCGTGGAATCAAACGGTTCATCAGCCATTTCCAGGTAGGCATTGTAGTGGAAACATACACCACTGCCTGGTGACACCACGGGCCCAACACCTGACTTCAATACCTGCAGAAGAACCCATACTATTGAAGATGAACCGCTATTTGGGCTAGTTGGCTAAAGTGCACATTGAAAGGGTTTGCAGTGCAATGACGGAAGTTCTGAAGGAATGGTGTAACGATTGAGGATTGAAAAACAAAAAGGGACAACACGAGCAATAACTACCAACTTGTACCTTTGTTCTATCGAACATTCAACTGAAATGTGTCAGATCACTGATGTCTTCTAGATAAAATATTTTACCTGTAACATATATGTACAAGGGGGGGGGGGGGGGGGGAGATCTAAAGTTCCCAGTCCCCGCTCCCATAGGAATACATGGAATAGTAGCCTAGAAAATTAACCCCCCCCCCCCCCCCCCCGCCGTTTACATTGTGTCGTGAGCAATCAGTTGGCACTCTGCTCTCATGTCGTCTCTCTTTGCTTTCCGTTCCCCACTGTTATGCCTTTTCTTCAGCATTTCCACGCTTGCACTTTAAACTTTCTCAATATACCAATGCTATATACTAGAAACATCCAGAAATAACACCCCAACAAAAGCAGAAGGTTCTCGTCTTGATTTCACTTATTATAACATAAATCTCAATAGCATTATGCAGTGGTACATTCATCTCATGACCTAAAGTATGCTGAAATGTCCAAGCCGAGTGTCAATAAGGCAAGGGCGGATCCAGCCAGTCATTTTAGAGGGGGGGAGGGGCGGTTGCTTGCAGTACCATTGGAAAGAGTGGCGTGGTCATTATTTTTTGTTTTTAATACCACAAAAACTCTCTCAGAGCACAAATACTTTTAACGTGTGCTCAAAGTGGTCCCGCTCATTTGTCCTAATTGAGGATAGCAGGTGGACGGCAAGCACTGAAGAGAGGTAAAGGGGTTGCTAACACGATTTGGGGGAGGGGGGGGCGATCGCCCCTACCGCCAGAAACGATGAAAATGTGAATCATGTGCCTGAAGTTTTGCGTTGCGACCGTCAAACGAGAATCTAGAAAATTGAGCTTGTACCGCAGGAAAAAACTATAAACACTGCATTTTTGGGGGTGCTCAAAAGATTAAAACACCAGATCATGTGCGTGAGGGCTGACATCAAGGACACGGTCAAGCTCCACCATGACAATGCCCCCCAGTCCCCCGCCTTCCATCGTTACTAAGTGCCTGACCCAGAGCAACGCCCCAGTGGTCCCCCATTCCCCTTACAGTTCTCACTTGGATCTGTGACTTTATTCTGTTTCTCCTACTGAAGAGAAAGCTGAAAGGCAAGCATTGTAAGATCGTGAGAACATCAAAAAGCATGTGACAACACTCCTGAAAAGCATTCCCGTCGAAGACTTTCAGGGCACCTTTGAGGCATGGCAGACACGCCTTGCAGGTCTACTGATGTGGGGGAGAGTATCTTCAAGAATTTCAACTATCTGTACAAGTTCAATCAATAAATCTACTTTTCCTATAAAATGCACATTAATTTTATAACTAACCCTGCAATACCAGCAGCTTCTAACTAACAGCTAGCTTGCAAACACACAAAAGTACCTTTAATTTGCCCTCATTTGCATCCCATCACAAGCATTGTACATTTTATTTCACAAAAAATAAGTATTTCGCAAAAATGAGAGCTGTAGACGTCTAACAACACTCGGGCATCAATCACAGTAATTACATCAGAATGAACAATTAACACAAAGGCTTGCCTGTGCTTATTTCTCGCACAGATTTTGTAAGACTAAACTCATTTTCACAGACCAACTATTTCTATTCGAGACATTGTTTCTCTCAGTGCAAAGATAATCGCAAAACAGTTCGATATATCGATAATTCAATATAAGAAATATGCATATTTAAGACTTATATTAATGCACTGCAACTCTCGGAATGGCTTTCGGAAATCGTGAGAAGCATTAACATGATGATTCGCACACAGTGAGCTTAAGAAAAGGTGACAACTTCTTTCGCAAGTTTCTCCACTTTATTTCGCATGAAAAAAGTCTGTAGACTTGTCTTGCCTCTTGCAAGTCATCATGTTCTTCAAGTCATTGTTATTAATTGAGCATTGAAGCTTTCAAACTAAGCGAATTCAGCTCTTTCAGCCACAAAAGTGGTGATTGACAGTGAGCACCAATCTAAGTTCTTTAGCATAGTAATATGTTTAGCAGCAGCTTTAGCATCTTTAGAGCCGCACAGGTCCACTTTCACGGCACCGGCAACCTCCTCCATGATATCAGAATCGATGCAGTTAAAAACCGACTTCATTATCTGCACTGATGAAGGCACTTTCTGCACTTTGGTCTGAGGTGGTACCTGAAAATGCTAATAAATAGCAGAAGGCACCGTACGCCGCTGTCAGCTAAGATGACGTGCACTAGGTTGTCACCTGTCACCTAAGCAAACGAGAAAACTGCCCGACAGTTCCTTGCTTGACGTCGTTCCATACACCAGTCATCATTTTTATCGCTACGAGTGATAGAACAATTAGTTCCATTTCCGATAGAAAATTCAGCTCGATGAAGCAAGAACTACTGAAGAGCAGAAACTAAAAGTGACAATGCTGTCCACAAACAAGAACTCAAATGATCATGTAATCAACCATTGTTATCTTGGTGATGGCGATGACACTACAGGCTTTGTAGCAGCAAGCAAAAAAGCAAGAAGAAATGTCTCCGAGATGTGTACTATATAACTGAAAACGCCAAAAATATGTCACTAGGTTGCTGATATCGAACGCCATACTTTTTGGGCCCGCATGCCATCATACATGAGCAAATAAGAAAGGAAATGCCCACAACGTGACAAGGCCGCCTAGTCACTTCACATTCATTTGGTTTTGGTGCCCTTGGCAATTAGCCCCTTTGGACTGTTCCCACGCGTTACCACCAACAACAGATTGCGCATCACGTGCCGGTGCCCTCGCAAACGCTGCGCAACCAATGAATCACACCACCTTTTCGACACCTGCTCCCAAGAAGGGATCGAACCTTGTTAGAACATGGCCGAAAAATAAGCTCTCTTTGTCAGAATAAATGCACTTTCTGGGCTTCGGCCTGGCGCATTGTTTGATACATCGGATGTTGTGTTCTGTGGGAATTCGTTATACGTGTGCAACTGTCCCATACTTTTGCAGGGAAAATTCAAGGAGATTTATCAACTATTCAATATAGCGAATAATTCTACATATCCAAGTTCGATATCAGCTGTACCATTAAATTAGTTCTTATTTGAACTATTTTTTCCCTTAGCAATACCTTCAGATCTAAAGAATAAAGTTAAACATAGCATTACCATCTAAGTATAAAAAATATCATATTACACATTAGTAACCAAAAAAATAAGCACGTAAATCAACAATGTCAATTCTTATTTTTATTAATTCTTCTTAATTTACCTTAATTTGCTTATTACTTTCTGTTTCAGCAGCGAAGGTTCCAGAGAAATACAACCAGGCTCAGCAAAACAAGATGCGTCACGTGGCCCGAGGTGCACAAGCCCGGAAATCTTTCATTTCCTCGTTTGTTCGGTTTTGGCCAGGGCACCGACACTCATCCCAGGAATAGGGACACAACAGCTGTGCTCTTAAGCTACTTTTCTTCATCTGACAGCATGAACACATGTTTATATTAGCCCCCTCGGGATGTATGTGAGCAGAGTTCGTTTCACCAGTTTGTTCAAAAATCGAGGCTATGCAACATTACTTTGCAATTGCAATGTTATGCAGATACAAGATTCCAAGATGACAAACATTCAAGATACAGACATGAGATACTTGCACAATTACTGCGTTTGAGATGGTGCTTGCAAATTTAACCTTGACAGAAAATAACTGTCACCCACCCTTTTCTAGCACAAACATACAAAGGACATATGTGAAAAAAGGTGTGTTAGTTTCTCAGAAAAAACTTCCTGATAGACGAAAATTTGCCTTGGTCTGAGACCCCAGCGCAGGAGCAACTCATTTCTGGCATGGTTGCTCAATGATGAGCTAACCATGAGACTAGGAGATTGCAGCACAAAGGCAAATTAACAACACGAAGCACACATACAATGACTATGGCAAGTCAGTTATGCTCCAACATGCAAGGTGTGGTAAGATTTCAGGTTCATGAAAGAAAGAAAAATATCATAAATGTGATTTTCCTTTTGAACTCATCTCACAGTAACAAGAAAGTTTAAAGCCGAATGCTCTTTAGAAGCGAAGATCTTAACTTTTATTATTTCAGTCATGCCATACAGTGCTTTAATAGAGCATTAATTAATGATAACCATAGTAGAAAGTAATACCAGACAAGGTAACCAGAACATAAAACGATTAGACAGTATTTTTCAGGCCACCATGTAATATCTCAGTGAGCTCATGTAAGCCATGGGGTCACTAGGATTTGCCAAATACTCAACTGCATACAACAAAAACACACGTAAACGCTGTGGCAGACGGCGAGAAATGACTGATGATGATCTTTAAACCAATATAAATCTTGCAAAGTCCTTTCTGCTCTCATAATACAGGAGACAGTAAAAAGGTTTGATAGAATATGAACTTTATTCTCATCATCATGTATACAATCAAACACCAGGGCTTCATGTCTGGTAAAAAGCAAAGCGGCACACTCAGGGGTGAGACTGCTCAAAGTCATTTTACGGCAATTTTTTCAACAAGTTAAATTCAATATTAGAACAGTTTGAAGCATGCCTAATGATAGTTCACCTTTAGCGGTGAGCCGAAGACACGTTTACTGGGGAAAACGCCCAGGTAAAACAGACCAGTTGTCAAGCCGAGCGAGCGCGAGCAGCAACAACATTCATCTTCTTCTTTCGCTAGCGTTCCTGCCTGTGTCATATATCAATGCTACAAATCACTCCCCCCCCCCCCCCCCGCCTCCAGAAAAAGAGCCATCCTGGCGACCTATGGAACGGGTAGGACCGGTGGGTCGTAGTGGGGCTTCAATCGATCGACATGAACAGTCTTGCGGCCGCAACGGCATCGGTATGTCGATGGTTGAACCGGCTCAACAATATAGTTA